CACTGAAGAAGTAGCAAAACACTTCATATGGTAGAGAAACACTATAAAAATGAATGTGTCAGCATGCTCAGAATGCATAAATTCATTCATAGGCTTTTCTGTATGTCTTTATGCATAATTTCACAAGGGTTCTGGGGCTCCTTACACTTGGTTCTTTGGAGAAGAAAAGAAAAAAAGATAATGCCATCGTTTTGACCTGTGCACATTGTGTGTGGAACAACTGATATTTGCAGGGTCCTGGCTAACAGGGATCTCATAATCCGTTCTTATCTCGTTAAGGTCTAATAGTCTGCCTTCAGAGGTAGAAAAGGGAAATAGAAATGGTTGGTGGAAAGAGACAACAAAATATACAGTGAAAATAAATTTAAACCTATGGTCACTTGATCAAAAGCAAGCTAGCACAGCCTTTTAGTTATGGGAAAACTTAATTTCCTGTGGGAAGGGAGAAAACAATTTTGTTCATGGTAGCACTTTTTGTTTTCAGCTAGAAATGTTGAGGTTTTTTTAGAAAATTCTTTACCAGTTGCAGTGACAAGGCGAATTCAGGAATCTTTTTGTTTCCTGAAACAAAGTGGACTTGTTTGGAGTCTTGGGAACCTAAGAGTAAATTGAGTGGATCATATGCTGCAATTCTTGTTTTATTTGTTTGTTTTGACTTTGAATTTGCTTTAACTTTAAATATGCTTTTAAGACAGGAGGGCCAGTGACTTACAGGACAGACAGTTTTTATCTGTGAGTACAGGAAGAAGTAGGATGTAAATAAACATTAGTTACATACCAGTCTGCTGCTTCCTTTTCCGCTAACTTCTGTATTTAAGCTAGAATAATTTCTTAGGAAATATTCCCCAATATATCCATTTTGTATTTCAGCATTTATAGCTTGAAATATGTCAGAAATTCACCAAGCTAATCACATTCTGAGCTCTTTCTATTGTAATTCTTCTTTCAAACTAATGAAATTATTACAGTTTTTAGGAATGGTTTATGAAATTAGTTGCTACCCTTGCTGATTTAACATGAGCATGTAACAATTTTATTGTCATTAATTTTTTCCTCTTGACATTCCATTCCCACTGTAACTTGTATAACTGCAAAATGAACAAAGTGGGTTTAATTCTACAGGTCCAGGTCAAACTACCACACTGCTTTTAGAATTTCAAGTTTTTCTACCTGAAATCTTAGAAGATAGCAAGAGACAGCTGTGCTTAGAACAGTTGCATTTATTTAGGCTAGAGATTTTTTTGTTTGTTTCTTTTTGTTCAGGAGAGAGCATACACCCAGTAGATAGAAAGTTAATGGATGGAGCTTGGAGAAGTTAGTGTTATGCTAGAACATCATCCAAGTTACAGAACTGGAGACAAAGGGGTTGGGAGGAAAAAAGATTATTTGTTAAAATGAAAAGTCCTTGTGTAGCTGTGCAGCCCTAAGGATCACAGGCTGCAATAGGCTTGAATTAAAATCTGTGCTTTTTAAAACTAAACTAAATATGGTATTTTAAAAAGGAGGCTGTCCTTAAAGTCCATGTTGGGAATTAAAAAATATTTCTCTTCAAGAACCACAGTTTTCTAGTTTGAGTCTCTTTGGATCTTGGTTTGTTAAGACCCCATGTTCTGCTGAGCCTCAAGGTCCATTTGGTGCCTTGCAAGCCCTGAAAAGGGCTGAAATAAATGCATGTTTTCACTGTGAGACATCAGAAATTTTAACATTTCAGCTGCACAGCACTTTGTTCTTCAGTTTGAGCTACCTGCTTACAGAGTTCTTCTGCATCAGGATTGGGAGTAGACCATGCTCTGGTCTTGGGGGGGGGGCACCTGTGACAGGGTGTTGCAGGCTCTGCCTGCCAGACACAGACTGGCATTTGCATCCTTTTTTTCTTTCTTTTTTCCTTACTTCTCTGTTATCATTGCAGCTTATAATGAAACCCAAACCCCAGTCTGGCACTTCTAAAATAAGAGTTGAAAATTTGTGATGAAAATACGATCTACCTACTCCAAGGAATATTCTGGACGTTAGGGTTTAAAAGCAGGTTTAAAAAGCTTTGAATAGTTTAAATTCAGCTGTGGAATAAAGAAAACCCAAGCCCATTATGATACAGTACAGACCCGTTGCTCTGAGTACCTCTTAATAGTTTGATTTTTAAGCATGTGCAGAAATATAATAAAAGCTAACTTATATGGTTATTAGTTTAATAAAATCAAACACCACTACATGTAATGATGGATTTAAGAGAGAAGATATCAAATTTATTTGCAGCCTGTCAGAATGTGTCTTATACTGTGTGTAGGTTTATAGTTTTTCATTTTGGTTTTAAAGACTCAGAGCATTTAAACATTTTAGACATGTGAGGACAGAAACCTGTTTTCAGCTCTTGGAATTGATTTTTGCCAGCTAGAAAAAGGTCTGCCTGTCTTTTATGAAACACAGTGTTAGTAATGCCACAGAGGAGGTTTTTGTGTTTTATAACTGCTAATCTCTGCCAAAACAGCAGCTCTTCTGTGAGTATCAGTAACTTGAAAGAAAAGACATGTTGAGAACACTGAATGTGGTACTTCTTGGTGTAAAGCTCCTGTTACACCATGCTGCCTACTGCCTTACAAAGAGGATCACACAGGCTCTGTTGTGTCTCCTAACCTTTTTGGAAATCATTTTGTTTGTGCAAGACAGAGGTCTGGTAGAGGCGATTTTTAGCTTTAGATTTTTTTTTTTAATTGTTCTTTCTAAGTCTTTAGCTGGAACCACTTTGTGCTCTCTTATTTCTGTCCATTATTTCACTTGTTTAGAGCGGTTATGTCTGCACTGCTTGGGTTTCAGTGCTTTAGCCATGTGTTCTCGTGGTAGAAGTAAAAAAATCACCTTTATTCTGTGAAAGGAATTCTGCAGGCTGTGCCCCAAACCGCAAAGTAACTTCCCACGTAATTAGCTAGTGCAAAGTTGAGGGAAAGGCTAACCCCAGAGGAACAAGCAGTAGCAGCTACCCATGTTTGTTAGAGCAGTCAACTCATTCCTCCTTCCCATCCTGCTTGCCCTCCTCTCCCTGGACATGGCATAGCTGTGTGAGCAGCTGGGTGTGTGCAGGACTTGCCCTTGTTATGCGTTTGGCTTTTTGCTCTCCTGCTGAACTACTGCACCAGTAACCAGTGGGTGAGAAGTTCTTGTGGCAGCCAGCGTAGGTGAGACCACAGCGAAAACAGTCTGGAGACTGAGACTATCTCTTCCAAAGAGCTTCCTAGGAAAAAAAATCCATGCAGGGAAAAAAGTCACCTCTGCTGCTGTTTTGTGGTTCTCCTGTCCTGTGCAGGTGACGACTGGGCCTTAGGAGTTTGGAGGATCCTTTATATCTATCTGTTCATACTAGCACAAATGACTAATGCTGTTCATTTGCACACTGTTGTTATTTAAATGTCAAAGATAGCAATTCTAGGGCAAGCAGTCATGCTGTGACTCAGTGTAGGTAAGCAGTGGGAGACATTAAAGGAGTTGGGAGTTTGTAGCTAACTCCCAAGTAAGGCACTGCAAGGCTTTGATAGCTGTAGGGTGTGTTACTGGTCTGTGCTTCAGCACTTTCTACAGGAACTACAGCCCTGGGGAGGTGTGTGGGAAAAGGCTCAGGAACCGTGCTGCTGGGAGGAGGCTCTTGTGGAGCTGGGAGAACTGTAAGACCTCTACAGCTTGTATTACTGCTGAGGGAGGAGTATTTGCCATTCATTTCCCCACTGGAAAGTAAAGTGAGAGCTGGAAGCTCCTTCTGCTGGTTCCCTGAGGAACTGAACCCTAACTTCTAAGTTTTGGCAACTGTGCCAAGAGCACCAACGGAGATGAGTGCTGCAGTGAGATAAAGCCCTCTCCTATCTGGCTGCTTTCACCGGATCCCAGGCTTGGTATGCAAAAGTGGTAAAAGCTTCTGGGAGCAGAGTGTGGGAGGCTGGGGCCGGGATCCCTCTCTGTGTTGGAGGAGATGCTTTCATCGTGAGCTCCATGCCAGTAAAGAGGACTGCTGGCCTTTCCCACAGACCAGGATATGGGAGCTGCTTGCACTGGTGTGGGAAGGAGGGGTGTTCATGCGTGCCTTTGTATGTACATTGCCTGTGACACTGTCTTTTAGGGTGTGTAAGGTGCAGGTCTGTATGAAATGGTATGCTACAAGTTAAAAATAATAAATCTAATGCATCTTAGTACTGCCTGCTTTGATCTCCTTGTGCTCTGCTAAGCCCTTCTTCTCCCAGGCAAAGGGGGCCAGACTCTTTGATAATGTACATCCTGTCTTCTTCCCCATTGCATGTGTGTACATAAGCTAGATATTTTTCTTTAGAAGTGACAAATTTGAGTCATAAGTTCAGCAGTTAAAATGATGATTTTACCGCATCCTGCTTGCACAGGAAGCTTATTTTTTAAAAAAGCTGATAAGTTGAGTCCTCTATATTTTGTCAAAACAAAAAACAAAGCAAGCAGTTTAAAGCTGCAAAGATGTTTGGATTCTCACATGATCAGTTTGCTGCTTTGACTCACAGTGCATATGTTTAACATAAAGTGAAAGCCTTGCAGTCTGCTCCTGTGCTACCTGTGCTAACCAGCTTCCTATGATCACTGGGCTGTGGTGATAATCTGAAAAAAATGTTTTCCCCATTACGTTAAGAGAAAGTTGTGGGGTTTTTTTTCCTGGTTAGCTGGGTTGAATTTAATTGGGGGAGAAAAATGCATACAGTACCATTTGATGCAATCATAGAATCATAGAGTGGTTCGGATTGGAAGGGACCTTAAGATGATCTAGTTCCAACGCTCCAGGCATGGGCAGGGATGTCACTCACTAGATCAGGTTGTTCAGGGCCCCATCCAACTCAAGTATGCTACTCAAGTAGCCATTTTTACAGAACTGAATTTTGTGCAGCATAGTCCGTCATTGCATTTCTTGTTATTAGTACCTATCAGCTACAGCATTTTACTTTTCACATACTGTAATCTCACCAGTCGACAATGCTGATTTTGTCTTTGTTCTCTTGTAGGAATGTTTACCCTTGCAGAAGTTGCATCGCTCAATGACATCCAGCCAACTTACCGTATCTTGAAACCATGGTGGGATGTATTTATGGATTATCTTGCTGTTGTTATGTTAATGGTTGCCATTTTTGCTGGAACCATGCAGCTGACAAAAGACCAGGTGGTCTGCTTGCCAGTTTTGCAGTCTACTGTAAATTCAAAAGTGCAGCCTGTTACATCAGGAAAGGCTGACTTTACCACTGTTGAAACAACCACTGGTCAAGGAGAAGAAGCATCAATGAGAACTGTTTCCTTTGAAAGTACTACTGTAAGACCTGACATTTTTCTGAGCGGAGCTACCTCTTCTCAGTATCAATCCACTGAATCAGGTCAGGAGCTGAAGAAGGAGCAGAAAGATTCCTCAGGCCGTAAAACAAATTTGGATTTTCAGCAGTACATATTTATTAACCAGATGTGCTATCATTTGGCTCTTCCGTGGTACTCAAAGTATTTTCCCTATCTTGTTCTCATCCATACTATCATTTTGATAGTCAGTAGCAATTTTTGGTTCAAGTATCCCAAGACTTGCTCAAAAATTGAGCATTTTGTCTCTATATTGGGGAAGTGTTTTGAGTCCCCTTGGACTACAAAAGCATTGTCTGAAACGGCATGTGAGGACTCCGAGGAGAACAAACAGAGGTTAACTGGTGCCCAGTCCCTGCCCAAGTATGTTTCCACTAGCAGTGATGAAGGAAGCCCAAGTGCTAGCACTCCCATGATAACCAAATCTGGCTTCAAATTTTCAGCTGACAAGCCGATGATTGAGATTCCCAGCGTCACGATTTTAGATAAGAAAGATGGAGAACAAGCCAAAGCACTGTTTGAGAAAGTCCGTAAGTTCCGGGCTCACGTGGAAGACAGTGATCTGATTTATAAGCTCTATGTTGGCCAGACTGTCATCAAGACTGTCAAGTTCATATTCATACTCTGCTATACTGCAAACTTTGTCAACACCATTAGTTTTGAACACATTTGCAACCCGAAAGTGGAGCATCTGATTGGCTACACACAGTTTGAATGTACACACAATATGGCTTATATGTTGAAGAAGCTGCTTATCAGCTATATTTCCCTCATTTGTGTGTATGGTTTTATCTGCCTCTACACGCTTTTCTGGCTGGTCCGAATACCTTTAAAAGAATATTCTTTTGAAAAGGTCAGAGAAGAGAGTAGCTTCAGTGATATCCCTGATGTCAAAAATGATTTTGCATTTCTCTTGCATATGGTAGATCAGTATGACCAGCTGTATTCTAAGCGATTTGGTGTCTTTTTGTCAGAGGTGAGCGAGAACAAACTACGCGGCATTAGTTTAAACCATGAATGGACTTATGAAAAGCTTCGGCAACATGTTTCCCGCAATGCCCAGGACAAGCAGGAGCTGCACCTCTTCATGCTGTCAGGGGTCCCGGATGCAGTGTTTGATCTGACGGATCTGGATGTGTTGAAACTGGAGCTGATTCCTGAAGCAAAAATTACAGCCAAAATTTCCCAGATGACAAATCTTCAGGAGCTTCATCTGTACCACTGCCCTGCGAAGGTCGAGCAGACGGCCTTCAGCTTCCTCCGGGACCACTTGAGATGCCTTCATGTGAAATTCACAGATGTTGCAGAAATTCCTGCGTGGGTGTATTTGCTCAAAACCCTCCGTGAATTGTACTTGATAGGCAACTTGAACTCTGAAAACAATAAAATGATAGGGCTTGAATCTCTTAGAGAGTTGAGACACCTTAAAATTCTCCACGTGAAGAGCAATTTGACCAAAATTCCCCCCAATATCACAGATGTAGCACCACATCTGACAAAACTAGTCATTCATAATGATGGCACTAAGCTTGTGGTACTCAATAGCCTTAAGAAAATGACTAATGTTGCGGAGTTGGAACTGCAGAACTGTGAACTGGAGAGAATTCCCCATGCCATCTTCAGTCTTTCTAACTTACAGGAACTGGATTTAAAGTCAAATAGCATACGCACAATTGAAGAAATCATCAGCTTCCAGCATTTAAAAAGACTGACTTGTTTAAAGCTGTGGCACAATAAAATAGTTAGCATTCCTTCCTCCATTACCCACATAAAGAATTTGGAGTCTCTTTATCTGTCGAATAACAAACTCGAAACCTTACCTGCCGCAGTGTTCAGTTTACAGAAACTTAGGTGTTTAGATGTAAGCTTCAATTCAATTGCGGTGATTCCAGTGGAAATAGGTTTGCTTCAAAATCTTCAGCATTTTCACATCACAGGAAACAAAGTCGACGTTTTGCCAAAACAGTTGTTTAAATGTGTTAAATTGAGGACTTTGAGTCTGGGACAAAACTGTATTACCTCAATCCCAGATAAAGTAAGTCAGCTGTTGCAGCTGACTTACCTGGAACTGAAGGGAAACTGCTTGGACCGTCTGCCAGTTACGCTGGGGCAGTGTCAGCTTCTCAGGAAAAGTGGGCTCATAGTGGAAGATCACCTCTTTGATGCTTTGCCCTCAGAAGTTAAGGAGGTGTTGAATCAAGACACAAGCATTCCCTTTGCTAATGGGATTTAGACAGAGGTGAAATACTCTGATAGCTGACTTCCAAATGGCAGATGCTGAAAAGTACAGCAATTGTGAGACGTGTTTTAGAAAGCAGAATTCGTTGGAAAGCAGGACTGCTAGCAGGATTAGAAGAGGTGTAACTGAGTGTTCAATGTTTGCAGTGTTTCAAAAGATCATTTCCAAAATTTTTGAGAGGATAAAGAACCTTAATAATCTCAATTCTTTTTTCCTTAAATTGTTTGTAACTTGGATGCTGCCGCTTTTGAATGTTTACAAATTTGCTTGCCTGCTTAAAGTTAATAATTAAATTGATGACCTTTTCTTACTATGCAAGTTATTCCTTAAGGTCTGTTTTTATTTTAGTGCATTATGGGGAGGAAAACCAAGGCTAAATGTTGTATATGGTATGCGTCTAACAGCACTTGAAGCACACACTGAATTGTGTTGTTAGTGTTTAGCCATCCTTGATAAATGAAAACAGTTTGGCTGTGATTTGAACTGCACCAGAACCACCATTTCCCTGCATTAAGGTATGTGGTTTCATAGAATCACAGAATTGTATACGTTGGCGAAGACTTTTAAGTTCATCAGGTTCAACCATTAACCTAACACTGCCAAATCCACCACTAAACCATGTCCCTAAAACCCACGTCTATGCTTTTTTGAATGCTTCTGGGGCTGGTGATTCCACCACTTCTCTGGGCAGCCTGTTCCAGTGCTTGACCACTCTTTCAGTGAAGAAATTTTTCCTAATAATCTAAACCTTCCCTGGCACAACTTGAGCCTGTGTCCTCTTGGCCTTTTGCTTCTGGGAGAAAAGACTGACCACCACCTCACTCCAACCTCCTTTCAGGTAGTTGTAGGGAGCAATAAAATCCCTTCCAAGCCTCATTTTCTCCAGACTAAATACCCCAGCTCCCTCGGCTGCTTCTCATAAGACCTATGCTCCAGACCCTTCACCAGCTCCATGGCCCTTCTCTGGACATGCTCCAGTACCTCAATGGTTTGTATCATTCTTCATCCTCAAGGCCTCATGTTGTTGGGTGAGATTCCTTCTGTGTGTGTTGCTCCTTTACTCCAGCAAAGACTGGTCACCTTCCTGCAACTGATCTCCCCCTCAGATTCCATAACTCTTCTGTCCTATGCAGCAGTGGGTGGTAAAAGGGAGAATACAGCCACTTGGCATTCAAGTTGTGGATAGTTTTGAGGGTTGAACTGTTTTGCAAGGTGACTTGGAAAGTCATTAAACACCAAGTGACTTTGGTGCTCATATTTTGCTCTTCTGAGTTTTCATCTGGGAAACTCGAGGTGTTTTATGAGTTGGTGATTGTTTTTTTTTTTTTCATAGCCCTTGATTAGGACCTGGGGTGTCTGTTTCATTTACTGAACTAATGACAGACATAAGATTTTTGATTTACTCAAACATCATTAAGTTTTATCACCTGTTGTGGTGTCTTCCACACCTGGACTTTACCATAAGAGCACCCTTCTCCCCACCCTAGCCCAAGTAATTTGATGTGTTTGAACACTTACACACTGTTAGCAAACCCTAACTGTGTGCCAGATCAGTCATCAAATAAGGAAAAAAACAGACAGCAGTGAGTGTGGGATTTTTGTTGTTGGTTTTTTTTTTGTTTTAATGTTGTTTTTTTTAGCTTGAGTTTGCATTGCCAGAACCATTAGAGAAATATAATCCATTAAATCTGCAAAATCATCAGTTGTAATTCTCGGTCATTTACATTCCATGTGTGCAGAAAAGAAGTACTATGCTGGGAGATGATTGCATGATTACTCATGGTTTAAACACAATTCCCTATTGTAGTGTGGTCAGGACTGAACTAGTCTGTAGTTTAAGGGACTGTTCTTCTCACAGAAATCCTCATGCACAGTGATTTCTACTGTAACTTCACCAGAGCTGCCCTGACTCACACCACTATTAATGAGGGGATAGTTTAGGCCTAGAGGCATTGAGCAGGCAGGAACATTTCAAATACTGCTCTTAGGAGTCTTGCACATTTTATTGTTAATAATTTACTGTTAGTCATGCTGGGAGGACTGTTCTCAGCTGTAGGTAGCAGTCTCTGAATACATACCTGCACCGTATGTTTATGTATATCAGAAGACCAGTTTATGAATAGTGGTTTTCCTACTTCTCATGGGGATACGGTCTGTTTTCCACTTGCCAGCAGGTAGTAAACTTGGGATGTTGACAGTTTTACAACACCAAGTCACAGGTTAGGCAGAATACTTACAGTTACTGATCTGTCCTCCACTGAGAAACTTAGTGCTAATCCTCAGATTTTTTTTTTTTTAAGTAGAAGTTAAGGCTGCAATGGGTTATTTTTTTTTAAGAAACTCTTTAATTTGTTTATTTTTTGCACATAGATCACTTTAAAATTGCTGGACTATTGACTCTTTAGAAAAACTGTGGAATATACTATTGGTGTATGCTTTGTATTTGTTGTTGAGTGTAATTTCAGCTTCCAAGAAATTGTGTGTAGGAGGGAGGAAGAGTTGGAGGATGGCAAAATAATTAAAATATTTAGAAAAATAGTTCTATTTTTCATCCATTTTTCCTTTTCTGAAATAGAAGAGTCACGCAGAATGTGGCTGTGTTTTGATCTAGCTTTTAAAAGCTTTTTTTGGTGTTTCTGATTCTCCTACTGACCCTGTTGATGTTCAGAAAATAAACCTGTGTCTTTCATATGAGTATGGTATACTCAAAAAATAAACCTGTGTCCACTTAATGAATATGTTATACATAATTTAGACCATTGTTTTGACTAGTTATTAGCCAACTGTACTTTAGACAAGTTCCTCCAAAATAAGTGTTTGTTAAAGTTAATTTCAGGCTTCTAATGCTTGCTCTGCATAAACTCCATTATTGTTTTTAGGAAATCTTTCTCAGAGTGGGGAGGAACTGCCCATAATCCCCATGTCACCTCCCCCCAGTCCTTCCTCCTCTCTGTGACTGTTTATAATGTTCCTATTTCCTGCGTGTCAACTGACACAGTCTTGCTTTTACAGTCTTGGAAGTTCATCTCTTTTCCATGTAAGGCATGTAAAATATATTTTGCATTTCTATTTGATTTAATAAATAAGATGTTTATATCTTCCTCTAATCTATTTTTTTAATGGGTGAGAAGTGTGTTTGCATAGTAAAAGCTCTGTACCTTATGCTGAATTTGTTCTGTGGCGCCTGTAATCTAAGAAGGAAAAGGTATGAGTTACTGCTCCTGCAGGTATGGTTTCTAACTAGGATACAGTACTTCAGCATAATTTTCCTCTTTTTTTTTCCATATGTACAATCTACATGACCTACCACCATTTTAATTTGGCTAATGGAGTTTTCAGAACGTATGTATGGCCCCGGAAGAAAGACTTCCGTGTTTGTTCAAACAAGAGGAAGTAAGAAATTGCCCATTCTGTTTGCTCCTGCCACTGTAACTCCTTTCTCTGAAGATCCTTTGGTTTTCCAATAAATTGACCTTTTGGAAGCTGCTTCCAATGATGCAACAGAGCTGTGGCTGTCCTGAGCAGGTATCAAGCCTCTTGGTGTAAGGCAGGATGCTGACACTTGTGAAAGGCTTTCTGCTGCTAAATAAATGGCTTTGCAGTCCTGAGCTGCCCCCTCTGGTAGCAAAACAGGATGCCCAGACACTGCCAGTCATGTCTGAGAATAGGGCATCTGCTTTGTGGACTGTATTTTTAATAAAAATCTTACAGAAATAGCTGTTCTGTATATTGTATTTCCAGGGATGTGCACAGCAATTGGTGGTGTATGGTTATGTGAAGGCAATGGGCTAGACTGTGATTCCTGCATTTGAAGTCAAGTGAAACAAACGAGGTGCTCCTACAGCTGTGATGTTGACTGTCATTCTCATTGCTTGCAGGAACAGGTTTTGGCTTTCAGACTTCTCGGTTCTCAAGACTGGGAGTTGGGCAGGAAACCTGACAGTCCCAAGTGTAACTCTTCTGCAGCTTGTTGTGAACATGAAAAACGAGGCTTCTGTTGGGTCTTTGGGTTGGGGACCCGTGAGGGTGCTAAAGATGAGAACAAAAACCTCGAATATGCTGAGGGATTTGCTGGCAGAGCCATAGGGCACAGTGGCAGTGGGCTGAGGGTCACTTATCTGGGCAGCTGTCTGTGATGGGATCATTGCCTGTGCAACAACTGGCCTCAAAGATATCGTGGAGTGGGGCACTGCTCTTCAGTCCAAAGCAAGGAGGGAGGCTAAGCCTGGTGACTTGAGACCTATTTTTGGGTTTGGTACAGCCTTCTCACCTGGGGTAAAGGATATTAAAAAAAAAATCAATTTCCTGTCTATAAGCTGTGGATTCTTTAATGGAGGAAAAATGCCTTCATGATTGTGAAAAACACAAATCATGCAGAAATTATGTCATGTAGAAAGATTCAAGAGGCTTATGCAGTCTTGTCATTAGCTGCATGGCAGAGCCCTATCAATGCGTTTCTAATGTGTGATCCCAGAACAATGTGATTTAGACAGCAAACTATCAGAGGCAGGACTAGAAAATACCTCAAGATGTGTTTAAGCCTGCCACCCTGCCTCATGGAAAAGTAAAGTTCCCTAACTCATTCCTGCCAGATGTTTGGCAAGATGTAGGAATGGGTTAGACAGCGATGGAAATTCCAGCCTCTCTAGGCAAACTGTTTACTTAATGATCTTCCTGTTGAAGAAACACAGCTAGACAAAAGCTTCTGATACTCTGTTTAGGCCAAACCAAATGATTGGAAATGTATTAACCCATTTGCTTGCAGAAGTACAGACCGAGATAGACTGACTGCTATATGGATATGTTGCATTCCAAGCACCTTGGGAAGACCAAATTTTGGGATTCCTTTGAAAAAAGCCCCGAGGAACAGCTTGCATCAGTTTGGTTGTGCTGTATCTGTAAACAGTTGCATTCCCCAGTGATGGCAAGGCTATCTGCAACCACTGTGCAATGCTTTTATGACTGGTCTGCCCCATCTTAGGCTGGTGGCTGACATCCTTGCAAAGCCTATATGGTTGGTTTGTTCACAAAGACATTTTGCAAAGGCATTTAAATAAGATGTTTCTTGAGCAAGTTTGCTGTAGGGACATGCAAGTCAATCCTTAAGAGTGCCAGAACTGAAAGAATTGAGATGAATTCTGTAGTGTTTTTGACCTTGGCATTAACCTCTTGCCTCCCACTGTGAATTGATAAAATTACTGCACGAACTACTGATTAGAGTACAGGGTTATCCAAATGGTTGGCATTTTAGCACTGTAGAAGACTTCCCAGTTCAGGCTGCCTATTTGTGCTTGTACAGTGTGTTCAGCACTTAAACCAAAGGCATCAAACAGTGAGGTAGCAAAACCCTGTGGGCTTATGCTGTGACCAAATTTCCAGGACAGCAAATCATTCCCCATGGGTAGCCTGTGTTACCGAGTACAGTTGTTTCTGTAGCAAAGATGAAGCTTTAGAATTAAGCTCAGAAACAGATTTTCCAAGCTGATTACAAACACGCACCCATTCCATGATAAAAGTCATGAGAGATGTCGTTTCTGGCAGAGATGCTGAAAATAGTTCCTGTAACTCAGCCAGGCATGGGTGCAGAAGTGGCAGCTCTTTAACGCTGCACATCAACACAATACAACTTAAGTGAAGATCTTTAAAACCACACACACTGGAGTTGGGCCAGGCTGCATCTCCCTCTTCCCTGAAGAGAACAGCCCCTAAGCCCTTTTGCAATTACTATTGCTAGGACCTTTGTTCTGTCTTGCCTCCAACAGCACATTGCCCCTTGATGCTGGAGGTAATATAGGGTTATTGGTTTAATAATGACTGTTTGGGAAGAATGCCATCTTCTAAATTAACACCACAGTTGCTTGCAGGAAGTCTCCCAGCACAGAGCAGGTCTGTTCCCATAAAATGAACATGTTGTGCCCATAAACAATAAAATCTCAAGTTGGGACTGGGTTTTGTAGACCATTAGTAATAAATGCATGAAATGTTGCTGTTCAGCTAACCAGTTCTGGGTAGTTTTGCTGCTTCACATGGTTTGTAAAAATGGATTTTAAGACCCTTTTCCCTGACACCATCCTGCATCATCTCTGGACCCAATGCTGTGGGCCTGGGGCAGGCTGGCTTACCCCAGACGGTGTTGCTGGAGCTGTCCTGGCAGAGCTGGGGTGGGAGAAGGTCTGGCAGCTATGCCAGCACCCCACAGAGGCTGGAGGCTCCCCTCTCCTGAGGAAGCCAGAATTATCTCGCTCCTCCTGAGGCGTCATCTATGGGAGAAGCCATACAAGAGTGTGCCCTGGACCACAAAATAAAGGTAATACTGTTGAATGAAACCTATTGCCATGTCATATGTCTGAAAGGTGGGGATTGTGATAATAGGAGGAAATGCAGAATAAGAGAAAAAAAAAGGAATAAATGGACCTGAGGAGAGGTAGAAATTTCAGAAGTTTCAGGACAATAGTGTAAAATCTAGAGTGTAAGTTACATGTGCTACTGGCTAGAGCAAAGTTCAAACCTTCAGGCTTGAACCTTGACCTTTTGAACTCTTGGCCTTTTCCTTTCCTTTTTGTTTTTCTTTCTTTTCTTTTGTCCCCTTTGCTTCTCAGAGAGGGCCTTAGGGTGCCTGTGCAGCTGCTGCTTACATGCTCTCCTTCCCCTCTTGCTCCTGTACAAGTATCCATGATAGCTCATCCCCGCAGAACTATTAACACTTATCCCAGCACAGCCATACCTGGAACTGCACCCCTGCTCTGGCTGCATGCCCGACAGTGCTCTGCAGGAAAAGCCTGGGCACTGTCGAGGGCTGGAGTCTAATCTTGGAACTGCAGCTTCCCCTTGTGAAGGGATTCTCCCTCCTCTGGCTGGCAGGTGATACCCTAGTGGGGTAGAGCCCTGCCAGCACAGGGAGGCTTGAAGCTCCCTCTCAGCTGCCTGAAAATGCTGGGGCTAGTGGGGTCCTGCCCACTTTCAGCTCTCACACATCCTGATGAAACCACATTTTTCCTGCAGCCCTCCTAGGAAAGGGTTTCCATAATGTCCTTAAGTTGTAATTTCCATAGGCATCCTCATGGCTCCTGTAGTTCTGTGTCCTAAGAGCCTTCCCTGTCTTTGTTGTAAATTGGGTTGTGTGTTTTTTAACCCTGTTCGCAGAGGATGCAGAGAACACCTGATGATTGTCACAGCTGCCTTCTGCAGTGAGCGCTGCTTCTCCACCCCTTCCATTTTTTTCTCTGCCTTGGCTTAAACACCTTCCTTCAGCCTTTCACCACGTGTTGTTCAGGTGTGTTTATTATCCCCGTAACTCATTACTCTCTTCTCAATCCTTTCGGTTTACCAAGTTTGGTGATTGGTCTCCAAGCCCTCCAGTCTCTTAGCTGTCCTGAGAGTTTTATTCTGGACTTCTTCTGCACTGCAGTGTAGCTGCAAGGATGTCTTGTGGATGTAAAATGCCAGGCAAGTGGAGACTCCGAGTATGTACCCAGGTCTCTAGGGCTGTAATGCACGACAGAGCTGGAAACCTAATGCCTTTCAGGGCCTCGGGTTTTAACCTATTGAAATTGTGAAATGTGCTTAACAAAAGGATAAGACCAGCTGGATTGTAAATTGATCACTGTCAATACTGGTTTGTGTATTTGAGACCTAAGAAAATGCCAGAATGATCTGACCCAGGAGAATGAAATAGGTTTCTAGCTGTCTTTGTATTAAAATCTTGTTAAGTAAATTGGCTTTAAAATTGTGTGTGGAAGCGCTGTCCCTGCAAGTCAGCACTAGTGTGGTTGAATAATTCACTGAGTACTTGGGAATATTCCTCAGACCTTCGGAGCTGTTTATGGCTAAGGACATGTCCCTCTCACCACAAATTTCAGCCTTCACCCAGAGCATGGGTGTTTACCCCAGGTGCTGATGATCTGAAATCCCAGTGATCTAGTGCCATCTCTGCAAGACAGAGGTCAGCTCCAGGAGTCCACACAGGCACTGCACAAAAGAGCCTTAGCATGTCCTCTCACGGGGACCTTCTCTTCTTTCAGTTTAGGACCAGTAAAGCTGACAGGCTGCAATTTTGAACTAGAACTCTATAGAAGAGGCCTTAATTAAGTAATTTTTCTGAAGTAAT